ATGGAAATGAGTATGAATAGATGAGTATACTGTATGGATTACATGACCTAAAACCAATTTTTATTCCAAAGAATTCGTAAAAAATAAAAAGCAAGATAAAAAGGTAGTTATTCTGCAGCTTTGTTTTGGTCAACTAATTCAACATTGAAGAACTTCAAATCAAAAAGTAAAAGCAAAAACATGTGGACCGGACAAAACCAACTACCCGATTTTAATATACATTTTCACGAATGAGTGTTAGCATGATTCAAAACTTTTGAATAGTGGATAACATTTTTTAAATATATACTTCCGTCTCGTAACTTTATGTAATCATTTACGGCTAGTTGAGAGGAAAATCAATTATTGAGAAACTGTTATTAAGATTCATCTATAACTGATACTCTGGCAGCTGAAATTAACCATTAAAACTAGTTATCTGCTTTTTATACTAAAATCATTTAACTAATCAATAAAAATAGTTAACCTGAATCTAACACAGAACAAATTCCTAAACGGGTAAATTAGCAGAATTCAAAAATCCAGTATTTAGTAGAAAGGTACCTTTAGTAGACTTCTTGATTACGTGACAGCAATTTTTTTCTGAAGAACATTTTCGGACAGTTTCATTATCGTTCTCCGATAGGCGATGAATAGACTCATGAGTGTCAGGACGATCAGCTCCCGACTGGAAAAGTTCAAAATGAAAAGGGTAATTTATAAATAAACTAGGATAAATACGCTTATATCAAAATGAATATTTTAATGTGTTCAATTGTTGAGCAAATTATAGGTAGAATTTAGCGATACACTTATTAACCCTTAGTTGCATATCTAAAATCATAGTATCAAATTTTAAAATGTGATAATAAAAGAATTCCGTAATTTAGGCATTAGAGATTTGATCACAATCCATATAGCTCAAACAACTAAGACTCACATCGTTAAATATTAGTGTTGGATGCCGATGATAATAAAACCCCCATATAGTAGGTTTCAAAATTACTTTGTCAACTGCTCGAACGATCAAACAAACTTTGTGTGATTTCCTCTTATTTACAGAAGTTTAAGGGGAGAAAAAACACTTCATAGCGTTGTGATGTTCGTTGAACATACACACTGTAGAAACGTTTGTTTTTGCATTCTTTATTTAGTAAGTAATCAAAAAGTCTGTTGACGGAGAAACTCAGATATTTATTTACCGTAATATTACCATTGTGCATTATCTCATTTCAAAATAAAAATTTTACTAAAAAACCTTTCAAAAGAAAGGTAACGTTATGAGAACAAAATGGTGACAAAATAACTCTGAGCGTTCACCGAAAGAATCAAACGAGGAAACTGAGTGATCTATTCCGAACCAATCTGAATCCGTCAATACTTTTAGGTCAGCAGCGAGATATAATTAAATCTAGTGCAGCAGGACAAAGCCTTGATTAAAACATGTTTAGGATAATCCACACAGAAGGACGTTGATTAGTCCATTTCCAAACAGTCGGTATTAATGGATCAGCCGAGAAGACCATGAAAAATCCTAGCGTCAGTTTTATATAAAGGTTGCTTTGCAGCATATAAACATTTTCGTTTGCTTTCGAATATATTTACGTTTCTCTTCAAATCACGTTTTGATTTCAGATAGGTCGGGCAAATAGAGGTTTTTACAAATACTACACCACAGAAAACATAATAATTAGTGTCCTTGATGGCAAATCTTGTTGAGTGATACAAACCTACATGATTACTAAGCTATAAAAATATAATTACAAGCACGGAAATTCAAATGGATAACTGTATGATAAAAAAACTAATGGCAATAGCACAACATATCTACACACATACAAAAATAAAACTGTGATGACAAAAACAGCCGATAGAGAATTTTATTCTGGTCTATTTGACCGAAAAAGAAACAAACAAACAAAAATAGGTTGATAACCATCAGCATATGATAAAAACGTAACTTTTAGTTAAGTTTCCAAGCTAAATGAAAATAAAAGAAATCATAGTTGTGTTTGAACCTTTCAGTTAGTTATGCTGAGGATTGGATTTTCACTCGTCTTTTTTGGTAGATTTGTGTCCTGAGCGGATTGATTCACTAATAGTTAAGTAAAAACGGATATAGGGTAGCAGTGGGATCCACGGAGAGCGTTTCGTCCCAATAGATACTCGTCAGTTGAATGCGCTCATACTCTAGTGTTGTTGTTAACTCCTGTATTCCACTGCTAGCTACTATCAATCTTTACAGAAATGAAAATAAATGTCAACTAAACATAAAGAGACGGATTCCTACTAGGAAGATAAAAATACTATGTCAATAAGTTTACTAAATTTAAAAAATAACACATCTGTCATATTAACATTATACGAATAATTAATTAAGAAATAAAATCGTTACCAATTGTCTTCGACGTTTAGAATCGATTAACTTTAGTTCGTTAAGAAAACCATAATCATCTCCAAAGTCATTTTTGTCACTAACATGAAAACTCTTGACTTTGACCACATCGAATGTTTTTGTAACTACACTGCTTTCATTACCATTATCCCTAATATATTAACAACAAAAACAAGTTTGAAGCAATTAGTCCCTTGGATGAATTTCGATAACGTAATGAGAAGACGAAGATTATCAGAACTATGTGATATATCTATTGTATCACATAGTTCTGATAATCTTCGTCTTCTTATTACATTATCGAGAAAAACATGTTTAATATGAAGAGAAGATGAAGAGTTAATAAAATTAATATAAATTCTAAACACTTGATAATAACTCATTACAAGCTAGGAAATAGTGTTTATTATAAAGCAATATTAGTCGGAGGGTGAATAAAAACCATATAGAACTAAATGATTGACTTAAACTAGCTTGTGGCTTTTTTTAGAAGAACCTACCTATCAATACTGAAGCTAGTTGAGCTAGAAAATACATTAAACATACGGAACAATCGAAAAATGGATGAATTTTAAATTGGATTCCAGAAATCGAGAACAAGGACATATAGAGAAGAGTTAGTCATCAGCTTCTGGGACAGACTATGGATACAGAATGAATATTTTACAGGACGATTTAAATTACCTAGGAGCTATTACTGGCCATTTATCTAACTTCATTATTATGGGGTGATAATGCTAACGAACGAACAATGAATGAACCATGGACATAAATTCTCCGTTTGATTTCATGTATTGTACTTAGGCTAAACCCGTTTGGGCGACGACACTAATAAAAAGCTGAAGATGAAATAGGTTGGGCTAACTTATTTCAGGTTTTCTCAGACAGACACAAAAGTAAGACGTAGAGAAGGCGAGTTCGTTTACTGAATTTTGTGAGACATGACTTAATAATTATAGTTGGTAAGAAAAACGAGCTAGGCACATGACAAAGAAACTGATGAACACGTACGCACAAGTACGCTCACATATGGAAACGATCAAGGTTAAAAGCGAGTATCCAACAAGATCAGGTGAATATGTGGCTAATTTCTCAAAAAGGACGGCTCAACTCATTTGTACAAAATCTAGAATAATCAACACAGGGGTAGCATAGTATCAAATCCTACAGTGTCATGCGTTGAAAACAAATACGAGTGCTAGAACTAATGGGGTACAGAATGATATTAATTTATGAGCGTAACTTATAGATACAACTAATATTCACAGAAAATTCGTTATATAAGATGGAACTTATTTTCACTAAGAACTATTTGTAAGCCTGATTTCTGATATTGATAAGGCTAGTTAGTTCGGCTGTTAGCGTTTATATTAATTTTTATTCCATAGAACCATCAATCCTTATTTGTCGGTTGGGAGGTTAGTAATGTGAGTGATACCCTGTTTGTTCAACTGTTATTCTAAACACGGCATACCCAACACTATAACAGACACATAAACGATGTAGGAGTTTGTATCCACCTATGGAACCACACTTCGTATCAACAGGGAGGAGTCGACAAGTGATGATAACTAAAATGCCGACAGTAATGCGGGATTAGACAAAAAGCAAATGGAACTAAACAATCACAGGTACAAAAAATACTATGTTCAGATTAAGATGGAAGTAAATGATGGATAGATATGTGCCACTGAAACCAATCGAGCCAAGTTTCTCTTTCGATATATATATATATATATATATATATATATATATATATCTTTGAGTCTAATTAGGAGTAACCAAGCAAATCAATGAACGGAAACGTTACATTACTCAATAAAAAACAAAGATAAAACATATACACAGGTATTTTTTATTACCAGCCATAATCATCTGGATGCGTTACAAAGCAGACGAATTGTTTTGGATATTGTGTGTGCTATACATCTTGAATATGCGTTTATATCATGGCGATATAACCATTTCATTAATTTTCAGATATAAATAGTAACAAAAATTAATGGAATAGCAACACATCGTGAGCTAACTAACGTTGTAATATGTGAACCATTAGAATTCAATTAGGTAACTGATCAGTAACGCGTGTCCTGCGAGTTCCAATGTTCACAGATTCGATACAAAGTAAGGTTTTATTCACATACTATAGAAGTTATAAATGAGGATGCAAAACATTTGTTTTTAATGGCTGGTTTGTGATGAAAACCACCTTCAAACGAAAAATTGTTTGATACGAGATTATCTAATTTCCTTAGTGTTAAGATAATTTAATCTACAAAACAGCTTTTAAAAACTTACAGAGAAACAGCCACTGCTCGAACAGTATGACATCCAGGCGGTAAAGTAAAAGGCTTTTGGAATTTATAAGTTCCACTATTTTGGAGTTCCTTCCTACTTTTTGCAACAGTTGGTCTATTCCCATTAATTGTAAAATAAATAGCTACATCTGGCGTATCGCAAGTAAGATCCAGATATGTATTTGTATCCAAATGCGATTTGTACAAGCCTAAATCTGGGCTTCTCAGGGGGATAACAAGTGGGGCACGAATAGCTCCAGCAGACATGTTCTGTAAAAAAATTTTACTATTACATAAATAAAGATCAAAAATTTTGAAAACTGGAATCTAAGCAAGAAATCTTTATTAAAAGTTAGAAATCTGATAAAATAAAGTGTTAAATTACAACCAGTGCGAAGATAAGCATTCGGCAGTCCACGTGTTACAGCAAATCCAACACGAGTCAAGTCCACATACTGAGCAGTGAATATGATTACAACCACCATGTTTTTGAGTAGGGGACTTGCAACCCGGGCAAGGACGACATGTTTCATTGATATATTTGCGACTTTCTGCATCATCTACTCTTAATTTTAATGACTTCCAAACAGAGTTGAAATTCGCAGAGGATGCGTTCCTAGAAGACTCGCGTTTTTCTTCGCAGAAACACTTCAGGGATACATCATTTGAGCATTCAGAATCTAACTGGATACAGTTCCAACCACACGAAGAACAAAATAGTGACCCACAACCAACAGGTGGGAGACAGTGATGCCAAATGCCAGGAGACTTTACATTACTTCGAGAGTCCGTGATTTGCCAATCTACTCCACATGAAGGGCAAAATGTAGAGCCTTTATGAAGCAAATACCGTTTAACCGACTGCTCTTTATAACGTGAATAAAATTCTGAACCTAGAATGCGGAAATGATGAGGATCCATAACAAAAGAATTGGGACATGCAGCAGGACAACTGATAGTGTACCCAACGTTGTCAATGAAATGGAACATGCCAGAGTAAAAATACTCTTCTGTGTACTTTTTGAAACATTCAAGGCAAAGAGAATGCCCTTCCTCCTCGCAAAGACATATTATAATATCTACTTCCGAAGACATACAGGCAGCACAACATATCTCCGTACTATTTTGTTTTATATGCTTCAAGAAAACCGTTGGACTATGAGAGGACATAAAAGTGCACGAAAAAATTATCTTAGCTTCTGCTGAATTGCAGTCATTAGAAGAGCACTTTCCCCTACAGATCCTCGAGTCAACGTCCTGACAAACAGGAATAAATGCCGATTGGCAAAGCGAACAACTAAAAGTCATCAACGCGGGACGAATAGATTCACATGGATAGCAAAAAACAAAATAACGTCTTTTTGGATGGCGCTCATGGAGATACAGATAGCAGTTAGGTGTAAGATTATAATCTAGTAATTTGTAATCTTCATGCATTAATTCATAGCCACGAGATTTCTTGTGTGATAGACAATAAGTATCTGGATTGAGATTTAAATCCTGACATATTCTTTGCTTTAAAAACAGTACATTCCATTTATCGTCTGCATCTAGACTATTTGCTACATCATTGTAAACAACAACTAGGAACATAACTTGTATTTCCCCCACAACCAAACACCAGCTCTAGTAATATAAAACAAACCATACAGTGATGCTTAAAAGTTTTTACTTTTGCATAGGGTAAGGAAAGTCATGCCCATACACAATTCACTTTCTAGTGAGCTTCTGTTCATGTTTAATCTTATCTTGAATGGGTTGATTGAAGATCCTCACCATATTCTTATCTTAACTTGGTCTAAATACAAAACTTGCTCGCTTGGAAAATTTAAGAATCACAAGCACATTCTTTATTCGTGATGTTTATTTTCACTTCCTGCAGCCTTTCAGTTGACCTAATTATATGAAAAATAGAGGACATATCGGGTGTCAATTTATTGCGCAGTATCATTTACACCAACATTTCATCGGCGTTTATTCTGAATCGTATGAAAGCTCTGGTTTTATGTAGTTTCTATGATTAGTTTTAACTCCTTCGTCTGTTGGCTGAGCTGCAAGCTGAAGATAAATAAGTTATATTTTTGATTCCGCTATAATTGACAAAGAATTAGGTGAGGAATACCAATTTGTTATTTTACGCGAAATTACACAATGCCTTTTTAAAATATGAAACCATACAATAAATGAATCATTTACACATCCTCCTTGGGTAGCCTTTTTTTACCATAAACTGTGTCACTTGTCTATTCTTTTATCCCCATTTTGTATATTCCGTAATTCTTCCACTAATACAACATCTTATTTGTCGTGGATATCTCATCCTACCTAAACGATTCCCTGGAAAGCTTGGTACCTCGAGCCATGAAATAAGGAGGCAATTCGCCAAGCGCCGTCCCTAAGCCCTTAAAATGGACGGAAAAACATAGTCTGTTAAGAAGTGAAAGTGACAAGTGACGATGTAAATAAATACCCAATATTATCTCACGCCACAATGTAAACATGTTTCCATAATAAAAACCATAAAGGCATTGAAGATTCCAATCGATCATTTACAAACAATATCACAAAGTTCAGATAGTACAATAAATACATTGTTTAGCTTGGTTTCAAATCATGAATTCCAAACCAGTTCCCAACTTTTATTTCCAATGGAATCACTTGCAATCACTAACTTATTACTAAACCCAATTTTGTACACATTTATTTTTAGCCTTCCTTACGTGATCATTACTCTTCATCAACTGATTGTTTGGTTGTTATATTCGTTTTACTATTAACTTACTACTACTTTCGTAAGTAGGACCAGATTAAGATGTGCTGTTAATTGACTTCTGTTTTGTTTCAGTTGTTGCATGAACTAAGAATCCCTGAAATAACGCAAATGAATCAAGAAGTACTAGATGAGCACAAAGGAATGTATTGTATTTAGAATTCGGAATCGAGCATTCCACAGGTACAAAGAAATCATTAGTTCATTCAAACATCACATCCGCCACAGCTTAAATAGAAATATAAGTGTCTGTAATATATTGCACGTCTCCTTAAGTTCATCTTTTGTCTGTTCGACATTGTATTGGATGAAAACTCGGTATGATCTAGAATGTGCTCATTAGTATTGGAATTAACAACCGAAATCGGAACAGACTCATCTGGGATTGTATAAAATCAGCATGTCTGTTTTGTACTGAAATCAATAATATCTAGAATTTGAACTATAGATTTTTCAACACTATCCTCCACCACGAAATAATGTTGGATCATTATATCCCCAAGTTATGAATGATGTGGCTTCTTTTAAACCATATTTCTCACATTGGTTAGAGTAAACATTATAAGTGACTTTGCGATATCGATAGACAGCAATTGATATGAAATCATCCGGATTGTAATCAGAATCGAGCTCATTTAGTACTCGTGCTTCGGATTGAACAAGTTTCCCACAAGAAACAAATGCATTATGAGGACAAATAGTATTTGATAGAACATCACGATTTGATTCTTCTGAAATAGTTTCCTCAAATTTATTAAGAATGTCATGGCAGAATAAATGATCATTAGCATCTAAGAAAACTACATCAGGTTTTTGATCATAATTATGTTCATTCAACATATTTTCTTCAGATTTGTAAATTTCATCAGAAATATGTGAATCATTAGAAACAGTCAGATTTGGTACAATAATGTGAGAAATCAGATAAATCGACTGGTTAGAAACTGTTGTCTCGCAAGACTACTGAGTTTCATTTAACTCTGAACTGCTATGTGACTCTACACTGTCTATTGCAATCGTTGATAAAGATATATCATCATTATAAATACTCGACTTAGTAGAATCAGAATCACAAGACTTAATAATAGTTGCAATAAGATGAACACTAGTATTACAGAGTGACTGAATATGTCCAATATCACCACATTTAAAGCACTTAGAATTACGAAATTTACATGAATTAAGAGAGTGAAACTTGCCACAGGACAACCACTGACCAAAATTGTGCCCATCTTCGTGAAATGCATTGCAACTCCTCAATGAATTACCTGCATGGCCTTGAGTATGCACTGGGTTGGGATGAAAAAGTGATGTAGTGGAATTTTTTATATCCTCATAAATCACTTTACGAAATCTTCCTTTATTGCGTTAGAAATTTGTATACTTAACATAGTCTAGCAGCAATTCCTTGGGAGTTGTATAAGGAAGCGAAATAGGCTTTTCCGACCAAGCCATAGTTCATAATAAGTTATATGCTTCTTTTCCGACGAATGTGAGGAAATGTGACACAATACTAACAACCTCAGCATCTTCCATGATCATAGACCAGATTTCGAACCGTTCGAAATAATCCTCAAAAGCACCAATATCTGTATGTATATTCAATGATCCCATCACAAGCTCAATCGCGACGCCAGTTCGGTATTTCGGATAATTTGAATTGTAGTGAGAACTAAGAATCCCAGAAATAACGCAATATAATCAAGAAGAACTAGATGAGCACAATGGAATGTGTTTTATTCAGAATTCTAAATTCAGCATTCCACAAGTACAAATAAATCATCAGTTCATTCAAAAACCACACTATCAGAGTAGAGCCATGATGAAGAACTAATAAAAGATAAATGTTTCCTAATTCACTTTTTATTTTCAATGTCTGATTGAGAATACTGAATTTAGTACAATCACTAACTGATTACTAAATCCAATTTTGTAAACATTTATTTTTAGCCTTCCTTACGTGATCATTACTATTCATCAACCGATTGTTTGGTTGTTATATTCGTTTTCAGCCAGTTAGTCAGCTACAACGTAGGACCAGGCACATATGTGCATCGGTTCAGGTTGCCATAACTCATTAGCACAGCAAGATGAACACCGGATTCATAGGAGTGGTTAGGTCAAAGGTGGTAATATATAGGAGAAAGATTGCATATATATAGTATGGGAAGGAAGAATTAGCTGGTAGAAAGAAAGATATGAAGTGATTTTAATCTCTTAGTTTAGAAAAGACAGGGAGTGTATACACCGACGCCATTGTGATCGATTCTGAGCCATCTCACCAAGAGTCTCCAACCATCGGTTATGAAAGTCACGCGGACCCAAACCAAGTAGTCTGCATCTACCAACATGGCTCAAATTAGATGTTAGTGTCTTCAAGCACTGATGCCACGTTTCGGTTTGACCGCCTCTATCTTTCTTCCAACCATCTCCAACACCGGTTAGCATTGCACGTCGTGGTAATCGGTGATCAGGCATACGTAACACCTGGCCCAACCATCTCAATCGATGAAGATTCACGACCTCACCAACTGATTCACCATCATTCCCCAATACCCTTCGTTTTACTACTAACTATTACTTTCGTAAGTAGGACTAGATTAAGATATGCTGTTAACTGATTTCTGTTTTGTTTCAATTGTATAATGTATCACAGTAGAGCCATTATGAAGAACTAATTAAAGATAAATGTTTCCTCATTCTCTTTGTATTTTTAATGTCTGATTGAGAATACTGAAGTTAGTACAAAGTTTTATCTCCCCCTTGCATATAATGTGCATCTGTTGTACGACCAAGGGTAAAGATCTGCTCTCCGTGAAATACCTCATACGATTGAGCGTTTACAGCTTTTTCTAGAGAAATCTTAACTCGATTTACGTGGTGGAGATGTGAAAGTGGACATTCAACCTCTAAACCAGGTTGGTGATTACCGATATCCACCAGAGGGACACCCTAATTCCAAACCAATGCTCCACATTAGCTCCAAGATAATAAGTATAGTGTACGAGCCAACCCTAGTCACCATCCTCCTTTGATTGCTTCATTTGGCTATGCTTTACTACCTTTTAAACTACACTAATAAATACTTACTGTTTCCTCGTGACGGGGGTGTTGTTTACGGACGAAAAGCGAATGTCCCGCACTTAAATACGGTCTGTGTGTACGGAAGATCCACCTAGATGTTATGGAAAACCGTGATTCCAAACCGAGGGTAAATATGGGTGATAGGATTTCGAGAGAACAAACGGTGTGTGCACCTATTCTTGGTCACCGGTTGCCACTGCATAGGCAAACGTCGCCCCATTAACAAGTGGATCGGCCCTCTGAATCAAAGTCTCAGATCATAGGAAAACCACCTGTTTCGGCACAGCCATCCGGAATGTAGCCCACACAAATCTATATGTTGACCAGAGTTATAAAAACCATTCACGCTTTAATTTCCAGTCTCGCTATTCATACATAGAGCTACTTGTTAATATTCGTTTTTTATCATAAACTGCGTCACTTGACTATTCTTTTATTCCCATTTTGTTTACTCCGCTATTCTTCTCCCCATACAACATCTTTTCTATCGTGGATATCTCATCATAACTAAACAATTTTAAGTGAATATCTGGTAGACAGCTGAATGTCGATCATCTGTTGGCAAACGATCCAGATCGTGCTAAATACTACTTACATCAGTCCGCATAGGTAACGCATACTTTAGCATAGAATACTAATTCTGAACTAGCCTTCCTGAAACTATATGCTATTCTAAATGGCCTCCATTAATGTTCGCACACTAATGAAGATCGCACAAAAGATAAGGTTATCTATACCTCTGAGATGTCTCAACATCGATGCCAG